ATCGGTCGCTGCGCGGGCGGCTGCGAGCTCCGGGCGCTCTGTTCGGAAACCTCATGACAGCAACGCACAACCTGGCTACAGCCGCCACTGAGGCGATGAATGGTGCTCCTTTTGATGGAAAATCAGTTGGTTTTGATGCAATGCTTCTGTTCCCGCGGGGCCGTGCAGAAAAAGGAAACAAAATAAGGTTTATTTTTTACCCCCAGTGTAAAACTGACCGAAGCACCGTATCTGCTCAGTTACACGAATAAACTGCATGCAGAAAGCAGAGTAAAAGCTCGTCTGTAACTTCTGCATGGCATGTGGCTCCAGTTTTAAAGTGGAGCTGAAGATGCTCTGACCCTGATGTCTGAATAGCTTCTGCTGTGCCAGAGCAGCGGGTGTGAGGCAGCAATTCCCACAGGCTGCAGCTTCCTCGTGTGAAAAAATTGCTCGGGTAGCCGGACGAATCTGGCACGTGAATATTATCCATTTGTTTTGAAGGCTCAAATCTGCTCTCACGGGTTCTCTTAGAAAACACACCATGTGCTGCAGGGGCGTTAGTTTCATCTGCTGGTACATCGGGAGTTAAACATTCTCCTTGATATCACAGAATGTAAAATCGAACTGACACAGTATCACAAAGTAACTGTGTATTTTTAGTAACCAAAAGTACCAAAACCTTTCTCAAACTCCCATGCTTGGCCTATTTAATAGTACAAAGATACTTATAAAAATGAGACCAAATTTTATACAGTTTCACATTGTTAAATGCACAGACTGGGGCAGAGTGAGGTGCAGCATGCAGAGGAGCAGTGGTGGGAACTGATGAGCTCTCCCTATCCTGAGGGTTTTAACTCCAGCAATTCCCACTGCAGTCTGATGCTGTTACTGCTCTGCTCTTGTGAGCTGATTGAAGTGCTTCAGGCCCAGGGGAAGAAGCTGTTCCAAGCAAGTGCTCATGCTTGTGGCACACGCTGTGGTCTGCATGTAGAGACCTGCCTGGGTGCCCCAGCCCAGGGCCCATCCTGCTGCAGGGCTGCTGCGCGCTGATCGGAGCACGGCCGCCAGTGCCTGTGCTCCAGTGTGAGGAGTGAGGACCTGGAGTGACCTTCTGGTATGATGCTAAATGTTATGGGTGGGAAAGACCATCAGTCACCAGAGTGAACAAATGCAAAGGGAAGGAAACTCTGATTTTAAGCATTCCAATATTTCAACATGGAATCAATCGGGTTGGAAAATACCTTTAAGATCATCAAACAGCAAAAGCAAATATGAAGATAGTGCTGAAAATACCCTTTTGTGCCCAAATACACAAGATGAAAAGCTTTGCTACTTCTA